AAAAGGTGCCAACATCAGCTTTTTAAATCCGGGAAAAAAAAAAAAAAAAAAATTCTTACTAGATGAAACACTTTTAAAAGAAAAAAGTACAATAAGAAAGTTCAAGGGTATATGTGTGTTCAGGATGATGTTTAAAATCATCACATCTCATTGTAGAAAATATAAAAAGTGTCAGGTAAGCCTAGAGAGCAACATTACTTATAGAAGTTATGCAGATATAACCACACCTGAATACCAGTGGGTACTTGTATTAAGTGACTGCCTTGGGGACTGTGAAGCATAAAATCATTCCTAACAGAGCTGCCATCTGAATATTGTAATACTGTTCTTTAATTTGCTGTACATGGTTATTCAAGTGGACAGCCTGCCCTATGCATCTTTCTTTCATATAACATTATGGCTTACTCTTGATAGTACACGAGTGGATTGGACTGGTGGCAAGAGAAGAGTAGTGTTGCCTGAATTACAGGCTAACTGATAGGTTGGCTACTGCTAAAAGTGGCAAGAGACAGGTTTACAGCCTGACCTTTTACTGCTTACATCTCAAAGCACAAATACTTATCTCAGTATTCATCTAGCTACCAGAAACAGTGATATACAGATCCTTACCTATACCAGCTGCAGAGACTCAGGAGTGGGGATGTGGGTGGCATGCAGACTTCTTGAATTTGCTGAGTTCTTTATATTTCTCTCCAGTCTATCCCCTATATGTATAGATGGGTTGTTCTAATATTCTAATAAACATTATCTGATAATGGTTTCATTCTAATTTGTCTTACTGAAACCTTTGAAACTAGAATAAACCAGTTCTCTTGTGGACATGGAACATGTCAATTATTTTAGGTCCCGATTAAAATTACAAATTCTGGAAGGGAGGATTTTTATGCCCTTGCTTCATCATCATGGAAAATTGGTTGCCACCACCCTGGGTTTTCTTCCCCCACTTTGGTTCACTGACAGCTGCTTTCTTTTACAATTTATCTATGAAATTTAACAGATATTTATTATAGAAAAATTACAGATAATGAATTTGGTTACATTAAACACTACTACTAACATTTTAAAGCTAAAGCTATGATATAATATTTGGATTACCTACTTTAAGGTCAGTTCTTCCATAATGTCTCCTTCCAGGCCTTGTGGTCCATTTAATTTAATCTAGTTTTTGGTTTAGCTGGACATGCTGATTTCTTCCTTTATATTGCTAATCAGATTGGTTATGTCTGTAAATGGGTTTAATATACGGTTAACTCAGACATTTGGGCCTTCTACTTTAGCCACACAGCTTGGCCTAGGCCCTTTGAAAATAGCCAGGGGTGGCAACAGTACTGAATATATTCAATTATAACATCAAGGATTTGTGATCTGTGGTAGAGACTAGCAGCCTTTAACTCCTTTGCCAGAGTACTGTTAAGTACACAATACAGAGAGTGTTCTGGGGAGAGGGCTATCTGATCAACTATTCTTTCTAGTTTCTGTACCAGCTTTAAGGTGTTTTGTGGCTAGGGCTAATCAGATAATGAATTGTATGCGATGTAATGATGAAAACTGATTCAAGAGGAGGAAGCAGACTCTTCCTTACCTAATATCTATTTAACTTTGGTAATGAGATCTTCTCAGTCTTAGATGTAGCCATTCCCTCCATGACTAGCAAAAGCCAGTGGAAAGTGTCTAGATCTGTGGTTGGCAGACGGTATCTCTTGGTTATAGTAGAAAATCTGTAGTCAGTTCCTGAAGGAACTGGTTCAAGGTGACCTCACCTGATGTTAATCTTATCAACTACTGTTTTAAAATCTTCCCATTTTTGGAGCAGGTCACTGAAAGAAAGGTACATGAGACAAATCTCACAGAAACAACTTCTTCCAATATCTATATCTTTACCATCTAAGTTTCAGCTTTAATTGTGACAAAAATGGCAAAATTTGTGCTGGCAGGTGATCTAACAGAGAAAAAGATGCTAGTATTTGCTAAATGCTAATAGTAATACTAATGTGTTAGCAGCTTCCAACACAGTGAATCAGAAAGTGCTG